ACAAAAAGATATTACATAAAAGAAACAAAGATAAACGGTTTTTATTTCCCGAACAAATGTGCATCGAAAAACGTGAAATCAATTACCTGTATGGTGAGACCATGGCCGGGACCAGAGCTGGTGCAACCGGTGCAGACGTACCGTGCGGCAGAATTTAAAGAGGCAAATTGTTTATAATTTAGAGAATTAGCAGCAAAATTCAAGGCTGTAAAAATTTTTAGAATTTACGGAAGGCACTTGGCAGCAGATATTAAGGGCGGAGAAATGTTTAGAGATTAGGCACCCGGCAGTGGAAGTTAGGATTCGCAGAGATTGCAACGTGCGGCAATATGCCTAACTCTGGTCCAGGGTGAATCTACAACACGTCCAAGACAATATACAAACAGCTCGATTCTAACAATAAGTGCGAATTTTCGAGCATTCTTAACGCAGAGAAATTTTCTTTTTCTAATTACAATTTTTTCGACATTTTATTAAACATATTTAGCATCAGTCTTGCGAATTACTTAAGTTGAAAGCGCTAATAAGTGAAGCTTAAAAACTGAGTCAATAGTTTTGCCAATATCTGCATTAATTGCATTAACTTTTATCAGGCATTAATATAAGTCAATAATTGATTAATATAATTTATTTCCTGATTGTACTTAAGAATACATTATAGTGCGATCCGCATAAACCAAGCAAAATTTAATTTTTGCTAATTTTATCTGCAAAATTTCGAATTCAGATCTTAAATCTGACGAATTAAAAATTTCTACTATATGCATTTCATTATTTTATTTGCTACGCAAAGTTTAACAGTATAATATTAAGTAAATAACATACTAAGTTTCAATTCTAACTTCCATTCATTAATATAATTGTCTTTAATTTGTTATTCAATAGCATGCAGTTTATGAAAATTCATAATACGCTCTTGTTCCTCCCCCTCCAGTCTGGGTTAAATTGGAATCATTTCTTCCACGAACCGAAATTAGATTAACAGTTGTGAAAAACAGTCTATGTTCTTCATAACTACTTTGTAGTTCTAGTAACTTCGCATTTCCTTGAATGAAATCATCCTATGTACGTAATTAGAGTAGACAGCAGAAAGTCGATGACTTCACTGACGCAGACGCATTTTCTGCAAAAAATATAATCTTGAGCAAACCAAGATTTCTCAGGTATTTCTCGTGCAAGCAAATCTATACTTACCATTCATCGTTATCTTAATTTATTCCCTGCAATTATCATTTTGATCTAATGAAAGAAAATCAAAATTTGAATTTAATTTTAGTTACTACACTGGTTATCATAAATTAAGGAAAAATCACAAAAATCACGATTACTGAAAACGTTACATGTAGAATTTTATGAAACTTACACACACAATATACAACATATAGTAAGGTATCAAACAACATAAAAAGAAATTACCAGACAATTATGGTAGTATAGAAATTAGCACATGTATAAAATGAACAAATCGAAGATGTCAGTTTGCTATAGAAAAAGTACCTTCAATATGGAATATAATCATCTCTAGAAGCAATACAGCACATTCAGCGATGTGTGATGCTTTCAATTATGCGGTCTATCAGTTCCATAGGAAGCGAGAGCCATTGCTCTTGCAAAGCAGTTGCAAGCGCGGCAAGGGTCTAAGGGGGCGGATTAAGAGTAGCTAGACGTCTCCCTAAAGCATCCCAAACGTGCTCGATAAGATTCAAGTCAGGGGATCGAGCTGGCCACTTCATGCGCATAATTGTTTCCGTTGACGATAATCATATACGACGCGAGCCCTGTGTAGTCTTTCATTGTCGTCCTGTAACAGAAAAGCATCACCTATTGTCCCGGAATATGGGCGCACATAAGCATCAAGGATGTCATCGCTATAAACATGAGCATTCACGGTTCCCATTGGAAAAACATGTAGGTCTGTGCGTGCACCCAAAGAGATGCCACCCCAAACACAGACACTGTCTCTTCGGTAAGCATCTCTTCCACGGATGTTTGACGGATGATAACGGGTTCCAGATTCTCTCCATATCAAATAACGCTTACTATCGCTTTCTTGACTAAACCTGGACTCATCCGTAAAGAGAACAACCCTCCATTGATCAGGCGTCCAGTGGACATGTTTTTGTGCCCACTGCAAACGGTCCCTCCGATGGCGTGACTTGACAAATGGTTGTTCGCCTCGCATACAGACTACCTTTGTGAAGCCTTCTACGCACAGTTGACGTTGACACCGACCTTCCGGTGGCTGCAGCAAAGGAGGATCTAAGAAGAGTCGCAGTAGCGGTTCTATTCCTGAGTGAACATAATGTCAAATATCGGTCATCGGCGCTCGTTGTAGCAGTTGGCCGCCTTTGGCTGAACCTCCTAGGTGCCGAATCTGTGATTTGAAATTGCCTTCAAAGTCTATGAATCACAGAAGGACTCACATTTAGCCATCTGGCCACTTCTGTTTGACTTTGTCCTGTCTCTAGTCTCCCAATGGCTTTCTGTCGTAGTTCTGCAGGCAAATGATGCCTGGAGATCATTTTACGAATTGGCTATCTCAGATTTCTGATGTCACTATCACAGTGAAATATGTGGGTTTGCTCTGGAACATGGACTTTTATGCTCCTCGCAGATGACGTATTCCGAGTGCAGCACCACTAATTTGCATATTGGAGTTTTACTCAACTACTCTTACTTGGCAGCATATTCAAATTTTACACGGCTTATTTTTGAGGGATTTATCGCTTTTTTTTTTTTTGTGATTTTTCCTTAATTTATGATAACCAGTGTATAATCCCATTAAGCTTCTTAATGCCTATTAGCAAATGAATTAAAAATGCATATATAAATCTAAGCTTGTTTTATTTAAGAACACTATGAATGTAATATGAGTTGATTCCCTTAGTTGTTTGAATTTTGGTATTGGTAGAAAAGGAGAAGCGCAGCATTTGTTTGAGCAAACTAACTTTTGTTAATGTTTGCTCCTCTTAATGATAAAATTACAAAGCTCTTATCTCTAACTGATTTCTGCCAAAAGACGGTATTGCTAAAATATTCCAATTAAAATGAAAAGTAATCGCACATTTTGATACGTAAACTGTTAGTAGAAACATACGAGACAGTTTGACTCAGAAAGTCCTCCACGAAGGCATTTCTTCCCTTGGGCAGATAGCCCTCGCGGGCTTCGCCGTAATCAAATAAACCAAATTTTGTCCTTTTCTGAATGTGGAAACCCATTTTCTCTAATTCCAGCTAGGCGATTTCTTGACCACTGAGTGCACGCCGAAATGAGCTTTAGTTTCGGCAATCTTCGTTCCATCTGGAGTGCATTTCGTGCTTTCCCATGTGATTTGGAATACTTCCGCAACTTATTTGGAAAGTTTCTGAGTTACAGAGGAATTCTTCAGAGGCTGTTTGTGGACGCCAACATATTTATTCTAACCCAAGACTTCGAAGGAGTAAGCCATTAGGCTAAGTTTTGTGAAAAACCAAAATGGGTACTGGACTGCTAGCCCAGTCTTGCAGCTGTGAAGTTGAGCCCTAAGCAGTTTTAGAATGAAGAAATCGCAGCTCTAAAATGAAAGGCAGAGAGTCCTCATTTGTTTATCCTTTATTTTTTAGAGATCTTTTTTCTTAGTTTTCAGAACAAATCGATACCTTCTTCTCTAACCCGCCTTTTTTAGGTCAAAATTTTCTGATAAAAGTACCGAAAACCGAACTTGCATTAGAAATTACGGCAAATCCCAAAAATGGTTGACAAATCTTCGTGAACTGTTCACACTATGACGACAGTAAGTAGAGGTCTCATCGCACATAAGGATATTCTTTATAGAACTTTAACCAGAAAAAATAAACTGAAACTATTTGCATATCTTGCCATAACGAATAGGTTTCCAAAACGTTTCAGTCATATTATTTGTAATTATGAATATTTACGTGAAGTTTTACTTCCGTAAAACATATTGTGAAGAACTATTAGACCTTTTTTACATACCAAAAACATGTGAAAGCAAAGATAACAAAAGAATGAATAATTTATAAATGACGGAATTTTTGGAAAATAACAAAATATAACAGAATACAATAAATAATAAAAAATCTGAAAGGTTTCAGATTTTAAATTACGTCCAAAGGGGCGTTTTTTTAACGTTCTGTGTGTTACCTTTATTTATTAAATATCATGTTCTTCGCACTTAAACCATAAAATTCCGTTCAACAGTTAATATCACAAAATAATTTTTAAATGAGCATATCTTTAGAATTTCCAATACACAGTCTCGCACGCTGGAGATAAAGAATCTTTCCCCCCTCTTTCCTGTAAAGTGTTGCCATTGCTTGCTTTTAAATAGTTGAGTTTGTTAATCAAAAATTCGTTAAAGTTTTACAAAAATATGAAATAGATAATAAAACAAATTCCAAATGCCCATTTTTTCGGGTTGAAACGTACGTTATTCAAAATTGGTTGGCTCTAGGTATCTGCTTTTACCACAATGCAAGAAATATACATAAATTTATGCAGATTCTTCATTATTTAATTTCTTTAAATATTATACAGGGCAATAATATTTGGTGGCAACAATTTGAAAAGTGAATTGGACATATAGAGTGAACCAACGCAAAATGCCAAAACGAAAATAACAGTCCTTCAGGGTAAATTGCCCCTTCGGACTAATAATAATTAAAATATATTTGGTTTAACTTAAAAATAATCATGCCTTGTTGGTAAATGGATGTATCATGATGAAATCCTTCTATTAATAAAATGTGTGTGTGAGTGATTATGGCAAAGCCTCGAAGACTATCTGCCAAAGGGGAGGAATGCCTTCGTGGAGGACTTTCTAAAGGAAACTGGCTCGTATACACGTTATATACGGGGAAAACCACGAAACCGCCCATGCTGTCACCGTTCGCGGGATTCGAACCTCGGACCGAACTACCAGTGTTCAGCGACTTTACCGCTCGGCCGCTTGTGGGCCCTATTAATAAAATGTATTTGATATAAATAAAAATAATCATACCTTGTTAATAATATGGCTGTGTCATGATGAAATCCTTCTGGATCATTATGTTCTTGTTGCCATCTGCAAAAGTTTCTCAAAGTTTTCGAAGCACTAGGAAAAATGATACCCGTATCCTAGAAGTATGAATAAAGTAGGCATTAAAATGAATATGCAAATAATACACAAAAATTTAATTTAATTTTAAAACATAACATATTTTCTCTCAAAACAGACAAAGTTTTAAAAAGAAAAAAAAATTGTAAATTAAATATTTCTATATATATTGCTGAATTACTTTATAAAATTAATATAACATTATTACATTTTAAATCTTATAAATCTAAGAATACATGTCTATCTTATACTATATTTTAACGATTTTATTATCATTAGAAACATGCTAAGTAAATTTTATACGACAAGACTAATATTCTCGTCATTTAAAATGAAATATATTGGCTACAGAACAAATTCACAACTTGTAAATGACACAATCTACTTAGAAGTGTTTAAATTTCAGTGAAGGTATTGAAAACTAAGAACAATGGCTACTCATTTCGATTTTAAATTCGGAATTGTTTGAATGAACAGTACAGAATATATAAATGCCAAAAGAGTATAAAATGATCCTGGCGGAAGAGCAGGAAAATGGAAAAGTTCTTATTTATTGATAATTTTGTGTTTGAAATATTTATCAACTTCGCCATAACTTGACTAAGGAAGAATTTCATCTACATGTAAAAACGGCAGTATAAATTTTGGTCAGGAAAATTATGCTTTTGGTCGTTTGGCTTAAGTTATTTTTTGGACTGATTCAAGCCAAGTGTTTCTACGCGTTTTTGTTTAGATTAGTTTACTCTATTATTTCATTGAACTTATGTTGGGGTTTATTTACCTATAAAATCAAATGATTTTATATAGAGACTTGTTTATTAATGTACGTATTCATCACAGCGGACTGACAATAAGTATTTCCCTTCATTGTGTAAAATATATACCTTAATTGGGAATTCTTTGTCTGCTAATCCCCCCATGATGTAGCTTCCTAGATTATCAAGATACTAATTATTTCTTTAATTCTCTTGGACCTAAGAAATCATATCTGAGATCTCATTTTTGTGTGATTAATTAAGGTACATCTGAAATGCCAAAAAATGCATTTCAAAATTAATATAATTTTATTTTATATAAAATTGACATATGCAATATTATTTGTAGGTCTGCCGGCCAATTCAGTCAGCGGCACTTCTCTGATTCTTCTTCCGATGAATCTTATACATAAAAGGGTGACTGCTTGACCCATGATATATAAATGCAAGAATATGATGACATATATGGGAACTCATGTTAGGTAAGTTCTTAAATAATCATATGATTGTCTTTTAATTTCAGAGAAACTTGAAGCAAGGGAAACAATATTTCCTATCTAAAACGGAAATATTTCATAAAAACACCCTTCCAATTATAATTTTCGGTATAAAATTAACAGTATGTTTTCATCTGTAAGCAGTGAGGGCAAAACACTCTTCAGATATTTAGAAACAACAATCCATTTATCTTCAATTTACTTTTTCAATTATTATTTTACCGCGGCGTTTCTCAACCCGGAACCTAGAGCTCAGTGCAATATATCCAGCAGGAAATAATGATGAATACGCTAATTAGTATATTTAAGTTTTACTATTAACATAATGTAAATTGTAGTATAGTTTGCAATGATAACTGTGTCGTATTGGTGACCCGCATCTGCAGATGTAATTTATGAACAGTAGATCTAAGTAAAAAAAAAAAAAAAAAAAAAAAAAAAAAAAAAAAAGTTCATTTTCTTTTTGCAATGTTCAAGCAAAGAAACGCTGATCTATTTCAACTATAAGTTGGCAGAATACCTCCACTTAATGGAATTCCAATAATAGGTGCACTGCCATATCACAGAAAAAGAAAACATGCAACATTTGAGTCTTTGATTCATATATCTGGATTATTATAGCTTCAGTAGTATCACGTTAATCTGTTCATTTACCGAGAATATTTAGTGATAAATTTAAAGTTTATCCACCGCACGGAAACATACGTATATTGCATATCCATTCACAACCTCACCTCGCAGTGAACGAATTAACACAGCTTTCCACTTCCTTAGTTGTGCTCACTGCCTGATTCAGTTAAGATTTTGCGTAGAATTATGCAGCTCTCTAACAAGAATATAATAGAGTATTTCAATAGTTCGAAACCCATCTAGTGCAGTCTTAAATAATATCCAAAGGATAATATCACAGTTTTATACGGCGGAATCCATTTCCTACATCCCTAGCAGGAGAAGCACCTTGACATGAAATGTAATGCAATACAGGATTGCTTGAGGCATAAATATTATTTGAAGGGTTTTGCAATGTTCAAGCAAAGAAACGCTGATCTATTTCTTTTATTGTGGGGATCCAGATCTTGCGAATCTAGACAGCTGTATACTACTTGTAATTTATCTTTACTTCATACAATGTGATACGTTACAGTATGGTAACTCAGCTGTACAGTATGCATATGTATATCTCTAAATGTAACTAACAGAGCCCAATCTAATAACTGTAATAATTCTGTAAGCTGCAACCATACTGTAAATTGTATTTGCAGCTCTAATCCGTGTTGGATAACTCTATATCCAAATTATCCAAATTACACAGTGCACCCTGGCAAACGTTTACTCATTCGTAAATTTACAGAGCTAATTCGCATTTTGCAATTTAAGAACTGTAGCATATATCTTGTACTAGTGACAGTAATTTGGTGCGAATCTTTAACTACCTATAGCACGGAGTAATCTCGCTTTTTCAACTATAAGTTGGCAGAATACCTCCACTTAATGGAATTCCAATAATAGGTGCACTGCCATATCACAGAAAAAGAAACATGCAACATTTGAGTCATTTGATTCATATATCTGGATTTATAGCTTCAGTAGTATCACGTTAATCTGTTCATTTACCGAGAATATTTAGTGATAAATTTAAAGTTTATCCACCGCACGGAAACATACGTATATTGCATATCCATTCACAACCTCACCTCGCAGTGAACGAATTAACACAGCTTTCCACTTCCTTAGTTGTGCTCACTGCCTGATTCAGTTAAGATTTTGCGTAGAATTATGCAGCTCTCTAACAAGAATATAATAGAGTATTTCAATAGTTCGAAACCCACCTAGTGCAGTCTTAAATAATATCCAAGGGATAATATCACAGTTTTATACGGCGGAATCCATTTCCTACATCCCTAGCAGGAGAAGCACCTTGACATGAAATGTAATGCAATACAGGATTGCTTGAGGCATAAATATTATTTGAAGGGTTTTGCAATGTTCAAGCAAAGAAACGCTGATCTATTGGCTTCCGAATAACAACATTTCGATAGAAGACAAATTTCATAGCTTTAAGTAAAACACAAAAAATGGGAGCCTTCGTTAATATCATATTATTATTTCACTTTTCACATGTTTAACTGTTAGTAATCTCTTATATCGATCATTTGGCAGAACATATTGCTTTTATAAAAATTTTTATGCTTTTTTGCGCTGATATATATTTTATTTCCCATTGGCGGGCGCTTAGCCGTCTTAGACTGGGCCACTTCTAAAGCCGGAAGTAGTGACCATTTTATTATGGAAGCACCTAATAGGTTCGCCACCGTTACTTCTTATGATGAGATGAACAATTATAGCCTGCCTTCTCCCGTATTCGAACCCTGGCACTAAGGTATCGCACTAGGCTTCGAATTTTATAAATGCCGTCTGCTCAGCCGGGGCTGGCCAGGGCTGCGGTCTGGCAGCTAATGTTAACTCCTGCTAAGTTGGTAACCAATTCTGCATGGATATATCTATACCTGGGTCGAACGCCAACTCAGCAGTTTACTTCCCTAACTACTATACTGTCTGGACGGCTCGCGCTGATATATGTATATTATTAATTTTGATGTTGAGGTTTTATTAATTCACTTTTGTTAGATATTTCTAAAAGTATTTTATTAAGTTTTTGTTTATATTTCTACATCTGTCGCTACTGTTTTTCTAGCATTTCTTCAGGCTTACCTCATTCTCTGACATCACAATGAGTCTCACAATGGATATATTGATGTCGTTGCCAATACTTGGATCTTTGTAAATGAGAGCAACCTAAAAAAGTGTATAAGAAAAGTAACTTAAATAATATTACTACGAACATAAAAGAATTAACATGTGAAAGATATTCAGAAATAACAAAATGGTTATATTTAATAGCTTCTAGAAATTAATTTATATGAAACATTACACGAATATGAAATGCAAATGCTGATATTGACCGTTTCTAAAGCACGCTTAATTTTAGTGATTCAATTAACATAAAATCTGGAAAGGTGATCCCAGAATTTCAGGTTTTAAACTATAATTTCAAGATAAACGCAAGCATGAAAAACATTAAGCGCAATTAATAACATGTAACTCTTCTAACATGTAATAGCTCTATGTCTAAATAACTACAGTTACTCGACGCTGCATAGAGTCAGTGACGTTCTGGAGTTGTTGAAAGTATACATGAAGACGTGGATATTGTATGCGTGTCCATAGTATAGATTTGTTTGCTTGTTCAACGTAAAGAGATGCAAAATATTAGTGTGTTTTTCAAGTACTTGTCATTCTAGCCTCTTTCTTGTTAATCTGCAAAATATTGATGTGTTTTCCTATGTTCTCAAAAGGGTTTTATTTCAGCGGTAGAGGGGGCATAGTTGACTGCCCGGAAGTTCGTAATCAGAATTTTCGTATTGAAGGATTCTTGGTGTACACCATAAGCGCCCATACCGCATAAGAATGATGCATGTATCTATAGCGAATAACAAAATAGTACAAATAAAGTAATACAAAAACAAAGTAAAATAGGAGAGAATTAAAGCAATAATAAGAATTAAACTAAATCAGATTGCACAACATCGGTTTCAGGCTTTCCAGTAACAATTATTAAGACCGTCCATACTAACAAAGGGCAATTAAGTAAATGTTCACTGTCCATGGCTATATCTTTTGCCAATAGTGTACAGTTTGAATTATTTTAAATTACAGTTTGGTGTAGATGTTTTGCGAAGCAATCATGCCCTCTTCTAAGTTTGAAAGTTTCCACTGCAACACATCTAGAAGCAGCAGAGATCGTAAAAATTCAGTCCGTTCATTTTCTGTTTTTAATTTCATCCCGCATGTTTTCTTCATATTTACTTTAGGTTCTGATTCTATTGATCATGTCATGAGAATCTTATCTTTTTCTACTGATTCTTTTAAATGAAACAAATGGGATGTTTCTCCAATATGTCTGCAATATTTTCGTGCTTTTTTCTGAGAGTAGATAATTTATTACCTTCAGTCTCAGAATGGACTGATATCTATGGTAAGATAATCATCTTTTCAATAGATATTAAGTAGATTCAATAGATATTAGTCCAAGTTTAGTCAACGACACCGAATCTATTCCCAGTCCAGAGTACTAAATGATGAGACTACCTGGATAGCGGAAGAAAGAGAATAAAAAAACGGTTTTTCGAACTGGCTGATTCTAAGAATTATTTTATGAGAAGCAAGCTTTATTGCCTCAAATTCTTCAGTATAACTTATATTCTTGGAGCCCAGTGGAAAATAAAATGAGAAATGATCAGACTAAACTCTGACTCTAGTATTCCTCTATTGGAGCGGGTCGTAAGTGGGGAGGTCCAGACCCCTGTGGGGTCGATGAAATTTTAAAAGAGGTCAATGATCATCAAGGAGTCGCTTGGGAGTCAATAGCCGAATAGGCACCGGCAATTAATTGGCATGAAAAGGATGCCATTAATTACAAAAAATATTAATAAAATATTTAATTTTTGTTTACTGATATAAAGCTACATTATTTAATAAGGAAGAAACCATAAAATAAAAACACGGGAAAAATACATAAAAATTATTTAATGTATTTCAAATATCAATAGTATTTTTTAAATATATAAATTTTTAAGCAATAAGTGAAGTATAAAAGAATATAACTGAACAACTAGAAAACAGAACCAAAAAATAAAAAATCGAAACTTCCCCAGAATATATATTGTTATATACAAGCCACTTTGAAAATTTAAAAGAAAATTCTAATGCTCGCTTGCAAGCCACTCAAAATCTGAATGTCTCAGCATTGTTCAGAGGACCTTTGAGCTGCGATGCATCTGATTTTGATACTGGTATGGTGGAAGAAGAGTTGATTTTATCGAAGAAGGTGCTCTAAGCGCAAGTCTTAATCAAAACACGTCTAGGAGTTTGAAATTTATGAAAGTTATTATAGGGACCAAAATTATTGGTTTTCCTTCTTCTTGCCTAGTAGAAGCAGACTTTAGTCATATAAATAATTTATTACTTCAAAAAATAAACAGGTTGAATAATTTTCAAGGAGGTGATTTAATGATTAAATTAAGCAACTTTCTGTTAAACATTAAAAACAAATTGCATCAATATATCAAGCGCAACCATTACATTAATTAAAATTGAATTTTGGGCAATTCGAATGCGTGATTTTATTCCTGAACCTTGTTCATATTTGCAAAATCAAAAACAATAATAATGCATAAATAATAAAATATTTAATTAAATAAAATCTTTATTTTCAAAAAAAAAAATTCGTTTTCTTAGCCTAATTGTTATAATTAAACTGTTCTTTTAAAAAGAGTCAGTGCAAGAAAAGGGTTTCAAATCCTTTCTCTGGAAGATACTTTGTGCATATATGTAACCGAGCATCTCAAGTAAGTTTTCAAATCAGCTGTTTTCATTTTTTCATCTCTAAATCCTCTTTCCTCCTCTAACGTTTACCTCTTTTCTTTATAGGTTGCAACAAGATTACAATGTAAACATTTAAAACACGTTGAAACGCAAAGCGAGTTAAAAGGCAAAGCGAAAATTTCAGAAGAATTAGGTATAGCATATTCAGATTTAAACTATTGAAGGAATCACTCTCGAATCTTACCCATTTACATTACATACTTCTTGTCCATTTACATTTTTCTCCCTCCAGAACTCAGTTAAAGACGTTCTAACTATTTTCATGCAAAATAAAAGCTTTCTCCTAAGTAACTCTCTACTAGTTTTATCCCCAGAAGAACCTGCATAAGATTTATCGGTCTAGTCCTAACAGCCCCAGTAATTAGCCTGATGGCTTGATTTTACAAAATACCAAACCTAGACATGCATGCAGTGTTGCAAATAATCAGCGGTTCGCAAAAGCAATACATCATATGCTTTATTTCAAATTACAAGTTTTATTTAAATTTTCCCTGTTACATCACCACTCCACTTTGACATGTCCTTTCAATTGCAGATAATCTTTTCTACGTCTTTTATACTGCTTTAACTATATATTTCCAAATGATTTTCTTTTTATCAAAAGTGACTCCTAGAAAATTGCAGTCACTCATCTCCCAATTAATTTTTATATTATACTCTTCAGCTGTCAGGTTAAAGTGTGGTAAACGGTCTTATTCACGTTTACTACCGTATGATTTTCGACTGCCCAATTCAAATAATGATTCAAATAATGTTTTCATTGCTGATTAATATTAACAACTATTTCGGTAACATACTCATGAGTGCTTGAAAACCATATTATCAAGTCTTCATGTCTAAGATAATGGGAACATAAAAGTGCACACCTGACACTTGTTATGATCTTTTTGGTAAGTTATTTATAGCGATATTAAAAGGGGCTGTGTGGGCACAAATGTTAGCTGGCCACGCTATGTTAGAATGCATCTAGACATCCTTGCCCGTAATGGACTGTACAAAATCTTTAGGCATGTAAGATTTTCATGCGCGAGAGCATTTTGCCGCCTATACCGATATTCTTTAAATTTTGGAACAAACCAACTTTCGAAATTCTATCAGGCAGAGCTATAAGACCAACAAATTCTGCAACGAAAGCTTTATATTTTCCCTGACAATCCTTAATTGTTTCAGAAACTCTTGTTACTTGTGTATTGGTAGACTGATACCTTCTGAAACTAACCCAGGCCTCAGAGATCATAACTTCCCCTCCCAAACGCAACATCAGTCTGTGATTTACCATTCTTTCCATTATCTTAGACATGAAGATACTTGTCAAAAATTTTCAGCAGATTATTTTTCTCAACCTTTCTTAGCAACTATGATAAAGATCGATTTTTTTTCAAATGGCAAAAACGTTACTGGTCTAGCATAAATTAAACAACGACAATAATAAAGACAATGCCGCTGCGCCCAAGTATTTAAAACAATCAACAAGAATGTTACCCAGACCAGAACATTTTACATTCTTTTCGCAAAAGCGTCCATGACACTGTAGAGATCTATTTGATTGTTCTTGCTGTTATGCAGAACAGAAGGAAAAGGAGTTTTCTTAAAGGAAAAATATATATTTCTTAAATGTCCAGTTTCATGTTTTATTTTAACCTGTTTCTCTTCCTATTTAATTCTCTTTCACTTTTTGACTCCATTTTCCAATATGTAGCAGGTGGTTCGGAATAAATTAAAAGAATTCAAATACTTTATATAAGCTCTTAATTTAGGTATAACGCATAGAAATCTAAAATGGAAACAAATGAATTAGCTACAATAATAATTTAACTTTGCATTATTATTTTAAAATTAAACAAGCATAAAATGTTTGCAGAAGATATGATGTTTACAAATACGACACTTCAAAGACGGCAGTCATTTTCATTTGAGGTATGCTGCCCTATTATAATCAAAACCAGAAGATAGGATTGATGTTTCTACAGTATCAAATAAAATTCTCAGGAAGGGTAAAAGCATTTTTCTCAATTTCTTCTGAAAAATTTTAAAAATACCTCAAAATTCATAAAAGCTATATTATTTATTTAAACTTGAGGGTATAAATTTAGACAATTAACGTTAATCAATAATACCTTTAAAATGCTTCATTAAATGTACCATTCTGTTTATTTATAGAAATATTTCTTTTATTTTTCACCGCAGAAACGTACATAGTAGTTAATTCCGATTTTTTCACTCTAAAGAAATGTCCTAATTTTTTGTTCGAGTTGTTAATGAAAGCGTGTTACCAATGAGTTTCGATCACTGATTTAACTTTTAAGGCTCTAGAAAACAGTTTACTGATATTCTTCTATGGCAAGGAAATTCTTAATAGAATATTTGCTGTCTGAACCGCAGCCTTAGTATTGGAAACTTGTGTGGTGCTTAGGTTGCGTTTGAAAATTATAAAGAATGTTTCATCACAACAACCTGTCTTAAATTACCTACCTAACCTATATTAAATTTAAAGATATTGAAAATTTCATGCATGGCCAGACATTCAGATGAAACAGTAAAATTATTTGATGAACCATTGGACTAAATTCCAATAATTATCTGAAGATCTAAAATTGGAAATGAATTCTAATGAAAAAAATTAATTATGTATCTTTGTGAAAAATGTCCGATGCCGAATTCCGATGCGATATTCAAAGTCCGATACATTTGTAAACATTGCAATGAAAGGAAAAACAACTGTGAATTATTTTGTTAAGGGAGGAGTCTTAGAATTGTACTGCATACGTGATTCAGAATAATCAATAATATTTGTAAGGAACTGTTAATTAGAAATGCTTAAAATAAAAGAATCGACACTGTTAATTTAAATAATAATAAATTTCCTATGTTGTACTTTATTTAAGAAGAACACCAGCACATCTCATAACTTGTACTTTTATTTTTAGTATGAAAAATATTCAAAAGCATAAAGTTTTAATAAGGAAAAGTACCATTAAGTTTATTCCCATTTGCGACCTTACACAGCGTGGTCTTAGATCCGATTTTTCAGTAAAACAACTATCACACTTCGAACTTTTTAATTATATTTTATCAAAGATTTGCCCTATACCAGTCGTGTTGCTCTTTCCCCTCATAGCAGTATAATATGTGTCTCTGTTACATTGTTATTATTATTACTATTATTATTATCGCTTATAGGTAAATAAATGCCATATATTAATTTTTCGGTTAAAAATCGCTTGAAATAAATCTTTAAAATAAATTCTTTAGCTGCAACGAAATTGAAGCATTGTGAAGTTACAGTGGCTAAGAATGAGAAACTTGAGAGGGCTCAGTCATACTGAAGCACATCAACCTTTGAAATATGAATGTTCGTTCCATCATTGCTTTCGATTGAGGAAGCGTCTGCATTATTTGCGACCTCTCAAAACCACTGCCAATTGGAGTATAAACAGAGTTGCGTACGGACGCGATAGAACTGGCGGCACTTCCCCCCCCTCTAACACGCGACATAACTGCTAAACGTGATATGGTCGTAGACTCTCGCAGCGACTGGCCGCCTGCCAACACATAAACTGCCACTATTTTATTTTCTAGTGCAAGCAAGCGTTCGTAAGTTCCATTACTGCATTTCCCAGATGAAACGTATCCTACTTTTAATAATTCTAACAATTTAATTTATCTTAACTAATGGTACCAAAATTACATTTTGAAGACTAAGAACATTTCAAGAAAAGGTTGAAGTTAATCTTAGTTTCTTCTCTGTTCCTACATAATCTCGAACCACGTGCTTTGTAAGGGGCGTCTTTTTCTTTTCTTTTAAGACAATATTCGTCTAATTCTTAATCATAAGAATGGCATAAAACCTACGTTTTTGTTTCTTTGAACAGTGCTCAAAGTGACCCCCATCCTGAATTATCTGCACTCTGCTTGACACAAATTTCCTCCAATATATATTATACAACTGAAATTATTATTTTTTTCCCAGTCACGATAACTTGGCAAACTGCGAAGATTGCGAAATTTCAGATTCAATCAAAAGAATCACAAATAACAACAACACCAAAGTGCTATTAAATAATCTGAGAAAAGTTTGAGAACAATTCTACTGCAGAAAAATGACTCATTCATGCTATAATTATCTATCTTAAACTACCTGGAGAAAAGAAAATTAAGATCGTTTCTATGACCGATTCACTGCTTCTTTCTCTCAAGTTTCGTGACCTATTTGTTTTACTAGGCATCGTTAACGTAGTTTTCTTGGCATGGTTCAGAAAATAATGTAATAAAAAAGTTTTCTATTGCAAGTAGCCGCATTGCATAAGCTTTTAGTCATGAGAATATTGATAAGCTGGCATGGAAGATGTACTTAAAAGCATACTTACCGCAGACATAAGAGTAAGAATATACATTTCTAAATTATCTCCGTGGTAGCTTTTCATCTTACTGTCTGCCACTACCATTACTTCTAGATTCCATTCTTTGGAAACGGAACGTTTCAAACGCCTACTCCTGGAGCCTGAATAGAGAGAGAAAGAAAAACACTTGAATTACCTATGAAAACATCTAAATTCATTATTTAAAATTCAGTCGGCAAACATCACTAACATTTGAATCAAAATGGAACGCAAGCTACAATGTTCTGAGCTACGTTACTAAATATAAGGTGCGTAAAATTCATTAAATGTACAAGCAGCAACGTAAAAATGAAACTTTAAGATTTTTCTTAAAATAAATTCAATATCACCTAAGGAAAATATTGGATACTAAAATATGCGCAGCATGGATCATAATTTTGATAATACGATACATTTAAACTTTTCTCTTTAATGCTCCGAAGAATGCTGTAACATGTATAAAATTAGCTATTGGATGTGAGATTGTATTCCCTTATATGCGCAATTGCAAATGCGTATATAGCAAATGAAATTGCGCAACTACGTAATAACTTGTAGAGACATTAGGATTTTTTGAATCAGGAGACTTGAAAAATGAGCTATGCCCTCGCCAGGATTCGAACCTTGGACCTCTCGAATACGCGTCGAGTGTGCTGACCATTACACTACGAAGGCATGCTAAGAAGGCGGGAGAAATAGCTTATATACTCCCCCTTTTAAAGAGCGACTGGGGAACCCAATCGCCAAATCCTGGTGGCGAAGAATCATCATTCACCACCTTTTAGTTCGATCACCACTGTAGAGTCATTAAGTTATTTTGAAGCAGGAGACGTGAAAAATGAGCAGTGCCCTCGTTTGGACTAGAAACCTCAGACCTCTCGAATACGCGCCGAGCATGCTGACCCTACACCACGAAGGTATGCTAAGAAGGCGGGAGAAATACCTTATAAACTGCGTTCCTTTATATGCGCTGTATGTATGTAATATACGTGTTCATATGGGCTTTATGTATTTACATTGGTGCATTTAGCAATAGGTATAATTTCTGTTCAATATAATAATATTGTTAGGTTCAAATGTCACGTTAGTATCATCAAGCTGTTCTCCTAATTACCATATGTAACTGAATTAACAGCGCTTATTTGGGAACATAATAATATTGTTAGGTTATTTTCTCTTCCTATTCTTTTGACACCAGTTGTTGCGTTATTTTCTTTCCTTCACGTTCGTACGAGGTTCGTGTGGATTTGGAGTGAATAACTACGACACTTTATGAAGTATCGAAACACACTTTATTAGCCAGTATTGTCAGGACAGCTCCAAAACATGTTTTACAGTCGTCGATGAACTACTATAAACACGCTGACAGGATCAGCGACACAGCCTTTAGGTTATTAGGCTATCACGGTGGAGACAGCTTCCTGCAAAGCAGCCAACTCTGCTTTCCGGAGTACAGCTCCCGACTCTGCTTGGTCGTTCCCGGAACTCCATGTACTCTCGAGACTCTCTACGCTTCAACTCGCGATGCACTCGACGACACACGAGCACAGCTCCTGACTCTTTGGTTCAGTCTTTCCCGGAGCTCAACACGCTCTCTCGACGATGCACTAACCGCGATACACTAACAGGCTTCGTTAGTGGACTCGACGACGCACTAGGCACTCGCTGCCCGGCTGTCAACTCGATCGACTCCGCAGGGATTGACTCGCTAGACGAGGCATACACACTCTCGATGAGAGACACACTTACTGACTGCAAACCAGCACGGTTTTATATAGCTTTCGGCTTGTGTTCGGGAACATTCTGGACTAAACCGGTAAGAATTCGTTCCAGAAGGTTCTCCAACCGTCAATGGTATATCGCCAATTTTGTCGCCAAATGGACGATTTCTCGCCAAATGTGGCAACCCTAAACTGCTTTGCGGGAAAGCCATTTCACCGCGCCTGTACATTTCGTAACAATATTTATAGTTAACTTCCGATGAGATGTCTTGCAGCCTCAAGGGAGTGGTACAATACCTGTTTATCAATGTTAGTCAGCGACTGTTGGACGCTACAGAAACAAGCCAAAATAAATGATAAAATTAGACAAAAATAATCTAAGACTGGAGCAATATTAGATGAGAGCAGTAAAATTTTAATCTAAAATTGAATTCTTCCTAGTTGTGTAAAATCATTAGAACAGTTGAAGGGATAGAAAATAACAGAAAAAAAAAAACATTCACTCCTCTTCTTTAGTCATTTGCTTATTCATTATTTCAAATGCTTTTCCCATAATGAATGAGAGGGAGCAAAAAATCAGAGGACTGTTTAACTGTTAAAACTGTTTTTGTTTGTCTATGAAGAGTATAATCATTGAAGAAGACGAAATTTCGCCTTTACTAATTTGCCCTTATGTAGCTTAACAGATTTGTTTCTTCAAGTGTCACATAGAAATATAATCAGAAGTTTGTAAGACAAAGTATATAAAATATTGGTGCTCGAAATTATCATCTTATTATAAAAATTGTTAGTTTTAGGTGCGGCAAGATTCATATATGTCAAACGTTATATCTGATGTGAAGTTAAATCTCTTTTTACATTCTAACATTTACAGAGTACTTAATACGTACTGAAAATCGTACAAAAGGTCATTGTAACCAAAGGTCTCATCTAAAAAACATTCCAAAGACTGCATGGAATAGGAAAAAGAAGTAATATGTCCAATTAATTAATGGTATTTTAAAAGTAAGTCTGAATATATATTAATAATCTGAATAAATATTGATTATATTTAAGAAAGTCTGAATAAATATCAATTATGAAATTAAGTGCTTGTGAATACGTTTCACGCGAATAAAGAATGTTGTATTAAGCCTTCATCGGTATAAGTTGAATATAGGATACACATTTTTATTCAAGGAGCGTAAGTTAAAACTGAAACATCAGTCAAGATCCTAGAAAAACACCCCGAATTTTTTAACTTGAAGGTTTCCAGTAAAAATCTAGTACATTTGTATTAGTTTCTAAGTCTATTTGTATTAGGCCTAAAGGACCCCCTTTTTTTCTGATTGTTAACCTTGTCACAAAAATTCTTTCACGACCCTTTGGGCAACTTTGTCTTTTGAAGCAAAGCATTTAGTCGTAAACAGTAATATATTATTTTTTTTAATTTTGTATCACAGAGGAATAAGCATTAATGTGCAGTAATATATAGTGGTATAATGCATAACCTATAAGGTTACGGCACTATGTGAAACAATGTGAATTAACAAAAGACCTTAGGAATAGCAAGATGGACTTAAAAGACCTGGTTAATATTGGAAAAGAAGCAAAAAACATAGCAAACGAGATCATGGAAAGAATTAATACAAACCTGATCGCAATTGGAACAGAACAATAACAAAGAACACACAATATGGCTGCTGCTAGAGACTTCGTTTATTCATGATGTGTTGTCCTTTATGTTTTTCTTCGTGGCCGGTGTAGAAAAGCCATAAGTCGAGCTTGGGCTTGCCAGGAAGGTGGACCGCGCCATACCTACCTACCTACCAATCTATAAGGTATTTCTCCCGCCTTCTTAACATGCCTTCGTGGTGCACGCTCGGCGCGTATCCCAGAAGTCTGTGGTTCTAGTCCCGGCGAGGGCACTGCTGAATTTGCCTGTCTCCTGCTTCGAAATAACCTAATACCTCTACAGTGGCGCCCGAAATAAAAAAGGTGGTGGATAATGATTTTCCACCACCAGGATTTGGCTATTGGTTCTCCTAATCTCCAGTCGCCCTTTAAAAGGAGGGAGTGTAAAAAATACCTATAAAAGGTATTTCTTCCGCATTCTTACTATGCCTTCATGGTGTAATGGTCAGCACGCTCGTCAGAGGTCCGTGGTTTGAGTCTCGGCAAGGGCATTGCTCACTTTTCAAGCATCTTGCTTCGAAATAACCTAATGTCTCTACAAACCAACATTATTAATATAGAATTTAAAATCTGTGTCTAGGCATGAAACTAAAAGAAATATTGTTAGTTCTATTTATGTCCCTATAGAGAGAACAGACGACAATTTACAGATATCAGCTACATCAGTGTAATTTCCAAACAAATGAAATCTTATCTGAACACCTTCTAGATATCTTACAAATTATTCAAATACCAGTTGATGAATCTCGACAGGAAATTTTATATTTATGTATCAGTGAGTTCAATAAAAGCACACATCATTGAATATCTCGAATTTCAGTTATTTTTCATCAAAAAGAAAAAGCACAAGCAAAAGTACAAAAGCCTCGTAAAGAATTTTACAATAACTTCGCAATCAACATAGCGCAGCACTCAAGAGAAACGCAAATTGTCACACCATAAAATAAACATTTTGCTAATTTCGTTATGAAAGAAGCTTGAAAGCACGGTATATGTGAAAAGATGAAAAAATTCAAAGATAATGATATTGACGAGTAGTAATCTTAAGAACTAGAACTTAAAAGATTTTTCATCTTGCTGCTAGTGTCAAAATTCTGTGTGTGAATGTAGTAGCTTTCAGACAGTTAAACACAATTATTATCATCACTGTTAGAATACTATAATTATTTCTAATCATTACCCCTATAAACTGTCTTAGCCATCCGTCACGTTAAATAAAATAACACACTAGTGCAATAATACCAAGTATAATATCTCAAAGCCTCCAAGAACAAAAATGGACTGGCAATATAGACGACACGCAATTAGAGAAACTCGGCATTCAGAACTGTTTTGCAGACCAAGGTTTTCTATCACTCGGTAGCCGAAGACAACGATATTATTGATGTATAAATTGCATCAGTTCTTGAAGAATAAGCGAATTTCAAACAATCATTCTACATAAAAGGAGAAAGGAACCCAAAAGCATAGACTATAAAGAAACTAAATTATTTGCATGCTTTTTACTCGCAAAGTTAATGCAAACTGAGAAGTGAAAGACTTTCTCTCAGTGATTACAGTGGTCAGGACACTCAGCTAGCAATTAGGAGACTCAGGTTTTGATTCTGATGAAAGCAAGGTTGAGTTTTACTAATTAGGTTCTTGCTCACAAATAAAGGCCTAATGTCTAAACACGCTTATAATACAAACATTTTCTAATTCGTATGCTTGAATCACGAGGTGCATCA